ATTAATTAGAAAAGAGTCCATTTCTACTGTGCACTGTGTCTCTTCCTATGGAAAAGGCAGTGATTTTCCCTGCTCACATTCCTCTGGGTCATAAAACCAGTGATATCAGCATTAGTTGCCATGGGGACCAGGGGTGGCTTGGTGTCGTTGCTGACATCCTGGCACCCAGCATGTTTATTGGGTGAGGGGTCTGTGAATGTTTGTTAATCTAATGAATAATTGATTTGTTTAATCAAATGAAAAATGGTGTGTCTGATTGGTCCAGACGCTACACTGTCGCGTTACATTGCTGACAGAATGCAGTGATTTATAATCAAGAGATTGCAAAAAGGATGTAGCACACGCACTGTCGAGTCAAGTGCCAGTGGATTAGAGACCCTTCTCCCGCGAGACCCGACGCAACAGAGTGCGGCGCGGGACAAGATGGGCGAGTGCTGCTGCAGGCGAGTAGACACTCGTGTGTGTGCGAGATGCAGGAGAATAAAATTATTCACGGGACTCCCGCATAATAAAAATATCTAAACATAAAATATCTAAAACAAATAAATTGTTATTCATCTATTGCACAAAAGCAACATGAACTAATATAAAATATAAACGATTAACACTCCCCAGGCCACCCTGAAAGACCTACCAGTGAGATAGGATTCAAACCAGCGAAGAGGAATCCCTGTGATGCCCAGTGATGAGAGGGCAGACAGGAGGATCTGATGATTGACAGTCAAAAGCAGCAGATAGATCCAGCAAAACAAGAATTGATGATTTAGAATAAGCTTTTGCAATCCGCAGGGCTTCAGTGACTGACAGTAGCGCAGTCTCAGTTGAATGACGACTCCTGAAGCCTGACTGGTTAGCATCCAGTTGGTTGTTCTGTGAAATAAATAATGATACCTGGTTAAAAACAGCTAATTCGAGTGTTTTTGCTATGAAAGGAAGAAGAGAGACAGGTCTGTAGATATCTATAAGTGAAGTGTTTAGTGTAGGTTTTTTGAGCAGTGGGGTTACCCGAGCCTGGAGTTTTAGGCGTGGATGTGGTTGGTTTGAGGTCCTGTGTGTGTGGGGCTGAGGAATTACTGATTGTTCTAGTTTTGTTTGTGAAGAATGTGGCGAAATCATCAGCTGTTATAGAAGTGGTGGGAGGTGGTGGAGGGGGACAGAGGAGAGAATTGAATGTTTTGAAGAGATTACATGTGTCTGGAGCACTGTTGATCTTGTTTTGGAAATATGAAGATTTGGCAGTGTGGACTTCAGCAGAGGAAGATGAAAGCAAAGACTGATACATACATGATACATTTTCTCTCTGCTGCCCTGAGTTTGGACTGATGCTCACGAAGAACATCGGAAAGAAAGAAAGAAAGAAAGACTTGGCAAATCTGAGAACAGTGTAAAGCATTGTTGAGATCGCTTCTGAAATATGAGAACATTTATTTTTATTTTTTTTTGCACAGAAACTGATATACACAGCATTTTAATGAACAACACAATATATAATGAAAATCTACAACATGTGAAATAAGAATAATGTAATGGAATAACAGAATAAATACACAAGGACCTATGTAGCATAATGAGAGGAAGCAGCTGGACCTGGTGCTGGAGAACACGTGCTATTCCTCTGAGTGTTCTGGACCTTTCTTCTGGTCCGCTCTTCATAGAATCAGACTAGACTTCATTGGCCACTCAATGCCACACATTGTTTTTTGAGCAGATGTTTACAATGGTTTGAAAGAGAGAGTGAGGCAAACCAGAATACTCACAATATAAGTGTTGCAGTAATGCAGTCATCTGCTATCAATGACATCCTCTCGTAATAAACTAAATTGTTTTCTTGGAATAACGGAAATCCCGAACTTGCAGTTTGTGGGGAATTCTGATTGTTTTCTGATTACGTTTCTCCTCAGACAACCCACACCTGAAAGAAGATCCTCCACCAGTCCCCTCCCAGATGAAAAGGTCAGATATGATCATTCCTGAAAGTATTTTAAACACAAAAGAGATGGTTTGCAGAGCCGCGCCTTAAAAGTTTACCCTGCTTTTATGGTGCTTCCTGTCCTTTTGCCCTTGGTAAACATTGACAGAATTTTCCTTTTTGAACGAACTAGTCCTTAATTGCACGTCTGATACGGCTCATGTTAATGTGAACTCTGCTGTCACCTAACTGCGGTGAATATTACACAGAGCAGCCCTCAGATCAAACAGCACGGTCCTTGAGACAAAAGACTGAGACACTTCTCCGCTGAGAGAGAGAGAGAGAAAGCGAGGAACCCAGGGAGGTAGAGAGAGAAGGAGTGAATCAAAAGGCTGGAAAAGCGTGGTAGAGAGTAAATGCTGACTTCTCCCTGAGGTGATTTGTCTTTTCGCTGCTCTCTCTACAGATGTTGGAGCCCCTTTTTTCCAGTAAAGACCTGAGGTTCTTTGCTAGGACTTTGATATCCTACTCGAATTCAATATGTGAAATAGTAGAGCCACTCTGTGACTTGGAGCACATCGCTGAGCTTTGAAGTCTGATCCAATTTTTGCTGCTCCGCCATTTGATGTTGAAAGGATGAGATGAAGAAAACGTACAGTTTTTGCCAGTAACTCTGCTGAGCATATGTAAGATTAAAACAGCCCGCTCCTTTGGAGGGTGTACTTAGAAATGTTAAGCAGATTAATTCTTTCCTATAGCTCTTTTATTCAAAGATAAAATTAAATGTGTGTGGAAGTCTGCGAGGACGGCCTGCGTTATTTCCTGCATTACAATGAAGCGAGCATGACGAGAGAGAAAGAGAGGGAGCGCGCTGGTGCCAGTGCATTAGCACTTACTGTTGCCAAACACTGTGTGTTAATGGATGCTCCAAACCAGCCTGCTCTTAATAAATCACTTCAATTAATTCACACAAAAGGACCCACTGCTGTTTTATTCATTATGATGCGCTTGTTTGTATTTGTTCGCTTTGTTTCCTGATGTGTTTTCTGTTGACGTGGGTATGTGTGTGCATTTCTTTTCAGGTTGTCTCTGTCAGCAGAGAGGACAGCTCCGGTGACGCGTCTGTGCTGAAGACAGACAAACAGAGTGACAGCAGAGAGAGAGACGGGCTGCAGGAGCGACCGGCACTGAGCAAGCAGGGTGAGTCCACACACACATTTATACACACGTGTGTGTGTGCGTCTGCTGCCGCAACATTCCCATAGTCCCGTATGAACAAAAATACAGACACACAAATTACCCAACATTTACTCTCCCTGTTGTTCTTCCAGATTGACTTTTGGAACAACTTAACTCCTTTTTTTCCCCATAAAATTAAAGTGTGACCAGTTGTCAAGGACAAAAATACCATAAAAGTACTTCAGCACCTTCAAAATTGGGTCTGTGACATGACACATGAGATAAGGCATCACTGAAATCAAATCCTGCACAACACGTCTTTATGCCAAGTTTGAATACACAGAAGAATCCCTTGTGAAAAAGAAGTACACTCTAGCATAGTTTTAAAAACTGTATTTATTGTGGAAATAACGTACTTTAAAAGAATTTACGGTAACACTTTATTTTAAGGTACATGTTACATGTACTTACTATTATAATAACAATACATTATGCATAATTATGTGCAAGTAACCTTAACCATATAGTAAGTACATGTAGTTAATTAATATTACTCAGTACTTAAATGTATAATTACTCTGTAACAATGACACCTTAAAATAAAGTGTAACCGAATATACTATGCTAAGTGTGAACTGAATGAATGAAAGGAAAATGTCTTATAGTTTAAATTTATATTAAGTGCAGTTAGCTGAAATTTAGAGTTCTTTTTTCACCCACTTAAGTAAGACTTGTATGCAATTTCATAATTACTTCTATTGTCTTTGAAAAATTTTTAAAGTGTGCTGCTGAAGCATTTATGATAAACTAAAATATAGTTGAATTTCAATTCTGTTATGATGTATTTAAATATATTTGCCATTACACATTTGTAATGATAAAGGTGTAGTTTAGTACATTGAAAACATATTAATTTTAAATATAATATTGAATAACAATACAGGTAAAATTATAATCAAGTACTTTACATGTGCTTTAGTATGTTAAAACATAAAAAATAGGTGAACTTCTTTAAAGCATGACAAAACATTTTTTAAATGTACTTTAACGTAAAACGTTTAATTCGACATTATTACAAAATGAAACTTAAGTGTGTTAAGAAACATGAAAGTGAACTCTTTTAAAGTATACTTAATTAGCCTTTTATTTCCTTAATATTATTTTCCAGTACTGTTTTTTTTTTTAAGAAGTACACACTTAAGAACTATACGTTTTATACAGTTAGGTGCACTTCTTTTTCAAAAGAGGTGTAGGAGATTTGAAAGCTACAGAAAAAAAGATTTTTAGTGAATATGACCTATTTTTACTTCCTTACACGAAGCTTTAGTATGGATCATAAGTCATATGAATTACTTTATGGTGCATTTTAAAGTTCAAGACATGAATGAGCAGCACAAGCATTCTGCTAAATGTCTTTTTTTTTTTTTTTTTTATAAAGTCATGCAGGTTTGTAAGTACATAAGGGTGAGTAAATGATGACAGAATCTTAATTTCCTGGCTAAACTATTCCTTTAATACCAGAAGTACCTGCTTTTCTCTCTCTCTCTCTCATTCTTGTGTGCTGTCATATCAGCTTATGGTTTGGCTGAGGTTTCAGTTTCAGGCCAGACAGTGGATGAGAGGTGTGTGTCTTTGTCGAGGGTTTTTAAAAATCACACCAATCACATTAAAGACTTACACACGCCAGCGACTCTATTAAACGCTCACAGTTACAGTGACACAGAGACCAAAACACACATATTTGCTGAACATATGTTTGCTTTGTGTTTCGCCCTGGGCTGTGAATTCCATTAATGAGAGATGCCTGGCAGGAGTGTGTGTGTCTGTGTGTGTGTGTGTGTGTGTGTGTGTGGATACACAGAGAGAGGGAAGGTGTGTCAATCAGGGGCGGGAGAGGCGGTGCTGCTGGGATAGGTTGCCGGGGGTCTATCATTAGAGTGATTAGTGAGGAAGGTGTGTGTGGGGGTGGGATTGAGATTAGCCGTGTGTCCGCGGATTACCGGATTAAGACAGATAATGTAACACACACTCGGCTCTGCAGTGGCTCCGGATTACTGTCAGATCACCACAGCACGCCTGGGTTAGACAGCTGCGCTAACTCTGTGAGACTGAGAACAGGTGACCCCGCTCATCCTGTCTGTCTGAAACACACACACACACACTGGAGATGACATACACTAACACAGAAAAACACTCAGTGTCCCTTCTGGTACAATGCTACTCTTAATAAATCATTTAATGATTATTATTTATACAATTTTGTGTAAATTATTGGTTTTATGGAGGTAGTGTGCACCTGGTATATTAAGTTATGGAAATTCAACTTTAAACTTGAACTACTGAATCAACAGAAACAAGAACAATGAGTGAATTACCAGTGCTCTCTCCACCCTCAATACCACGACTGAGGTGAGACCCTTGAGCAAGGCACCAAACCCCCAACTGCTCCCCAGGCGCCGCAGCATTGGCTGCCCACTGCTCCGGGTGTGTGTTCACGGTGTGTGTGTGTGTGTGTGTGTGTGTGAGTGTTAGTTCACTACTCACTGCTGTGTGTGTGTGCACTTGGATGGGTTAAATGCAGAGCACAAATTCCAAGTATGGGACACCATACTTGGCCACACATCACGTCCTTTCCTTCCTTTCATTGAAACTGTTTTTTGAAGTAAACCAGTTTACAAAATGCTAAAATGAATCCTTAATGAATCCAAAAGCTACTTGAGAGAGTGAAGATTGTGTTTGATTATTGTCTTAGCTCACTTAAGTGCAAAAAAAAAAGGGAACTACAAATGAAAATGAGGAAGGAGCCTACTAATTTGATCAATTAAGCAAGAATTAAGCACAATTTACTTCTCACAATGCTTGGAACTTCTGGCATCCATCCTCCAATCTAGCTCCACCCTTGTGCTATTTATTATCATACAATAATTCAGGGGGGAAATCGAAGCTGCCAAACTATAGACCCACTCTTAGTATGTACAGGTGCATCTCAATAAATTAGAATGTCGTGGAAAAGTTCATTTATTTCAGTAATTCAACTCAAATTGTGAAACTCGTGTATTGTATTAAATAAATTCAATGCACACAGACTGAAGTAGTTTAAGTCTTTGGTTCTTTTAATTGTGATGATTTTGGCTCACATTTAACAAAAACCAATAAAATAAAACCAATAAAAAAAACATTTTTAGTGAATTGTTGGCCTTCTGGAAAGCATGTTCATTTACTGTACATGTACTCAATACCTGGTAGGGGCTCCTTTTGCTTTAATTACGGCCTCAATTCGGCGTGGCATGGAGGGGATCAGTTTGTGGCACTGCTGAGGTGGTATGGAAGCCCAGGTTTCTTTGACAGTGGCCTTCAGCTCATCTGCATTTTTAGTTTAATTACTGAAATAAATGAACTTTTCCACTACATTATAACTTTTCTAATTTATTGAGATGCACCTGTATATAAAACAAAACTGTAGAATAGCCACATATGCTGTGTATATAAAATTTATAAAGTGTTTACGTCATATTACGTCATTTTTTCACACCTGTTATGGATCTGCTTGACTCTTGAGAGTTGCATCTGCTATTTCTATGTATGCAGTGTGCAGAATAATTAGCAGTTTTGTAGCATTGATTAATCAATAGTTCAGTCATGAAACTCTATCCGAGCATCAATTGGTTCTTCTAACATCATTGCAGTAGGCATCAGATACTTCCTAATCCACGTAACCATTTATTCCGCTCCCTAGTCAGCGATCATTCTACAGCATTTGAAAACTCTTGTTTTACCTTCCTCCTCCCCAGCTCCACCTGTAGAGATCTGCTATGAATCTTCTCTAATTTTCCAGCAACTCAAACTTGCAGCAGCATGTTTCCTTATTAAGTATGTTTTTTTTTTATCCAAGTTGAACAAATCCTTGTATTTGTGCAGCAGCAGTGTAGCAGATTTATCTGCCAAAATCAAGCATACTGTATTTACTGTACATCCCATGTTGCGGTATGTACTGCTTTATATGAGTATACTATATGTATCCAAGTATTGGATATAATTATAGTAGTTGTATAATGTTATTAATTATTAATTTGTTAATTAAGTTGAGTTTGTATTTGTTGTGCAACAATATTTGTTGTGCAGTACTATTGAGGATTATGAAAACTGTGAGGTTTTATTTAATTGATTAAAAAAAAAAAAAAAATTGTAGTGACAAGATGATTCTAGTGAATCCCTAAAGGAGCCTGTCTCAAATGTAGCTTTAGAAAATCTTTCATTTCTGTTTGATTGAGTTCTATAAATGAGGGAGTCTTCTAGTTTTTTTTTTTAATATATATTTATATAGCATTATATATATTTAGTACAAATGTATCTTTTCAAATTTGATGTTGTAACCCTAACCAGAATTGTTCATTCATTTAAAAACACACATTGGCACAGAACAGAGGTCTGCCCTAATTCACAAAGATCCACCCACTTGGTGATTTCTGGCCTTGCCACTGTTACTGAATAATATTCAGTAGTTTTCATTAGCATTAAAAGCTAGTAGTGTCAATAACATGTAATATTATACATAATATTGCTCACTAATGCTGCTGTCCGGCTCTAGCTGTGCTTTTCACACAGTTCAGTCTGTCGCTCACTGTATTTACACTCATGTAGTGCTGGAGGATAAAGATGTCCCAGCATGACTCTGACTTGCTGTTTAAAGCTGTTTAAGTCAAATTACCTCACCTTGAATATGCAAAGAACAGAACTGCTGACTGGATCGCCCTGAGAGCCAACACATACACACACACACACACACACACACACATACAGACTGGTTTTAGATCACAGTTTGATGCCTTCATCAGAGGAGCTGTTGGCTAAACTAAAGGCTTGATTCTGTGTGTGAGGAGAACACGTGTAAGTGTGAGTGGATGTTATTTGGATGTGAGTGCTGTGGAAGAGTAAGCAGGGCAGACTTTGATCGGAGGAGATCAGTGTGTGTGTGTGTGTGTGTGTGTGTGTGTGTGTGTG